CACACAGCCCAGCCCCTCACAGGAACCCACAGGGGTTGATGCGCAGAGGATGGCCCAGCTAGGGCAAGTGCCCAACGGGCTGGCTATGGCTGCTGTCCGCGGTGAGGGTCTCAGGGTACCGCCTGCAGACAATTGCCGCTCCAAAACTCTCCTGGCTCCAAACGCTGTATCGCGAAAATGAACTGCCAAAAGTCCCCAACCGATTCCCCCTAAACTATTAATAGACTTCTACTACTCTAGTCTAGACCTAGACTGGACTGACTGACCGACCTGTACCGTTTCAGTTTTTCGGCCTCTCAGCCTCTATTGGACCCGGCTATAGGCTATAGGACCGTCTATCAGCTTAGGCCCTTACGGCCTGTCTGTCCTAGTGGTAGCCTGGGCCTGCTAAACGCAGTGAGGGTAGCTGTAGGAAATTCGCAGATATGTCCCTCACGAGTTCCCTTGCAGGTAGGTCTCTCGGTGAGCCCTCGGCCAAACAAAATTACAAATCTAACCTACTGCTGTACTGTACAGCCTCGCGGTCAGTCTCGGCAGTCGAAATCAGCAAGTCTTTGCACGTTCCTTGGAGTACCAGTGTGAGCAGACTTCCTTCACGGCCTTCCCCGACTTCCTCCCTTCCGACTCTGGTGCTTCTTTACTTTTTCTTTTTTTTTGCAATTGGGCCCACAAGTCCCAAAACTAAAGGCTTGCCGATCCTCTGGGGCTCTGAAAACTTCCAAATTTTGGGAAAACAGCCAGTTTTCCCAAATTTTTTTTGCCTGGCGGAGATACTAGTGGTTTAAGCTGCACTTTGAATAATGACAGATCCTTCATTCAGTCATAACTCGGAGTTTTCTGAAGATTACTGGAACACACAAACAAGACTGATGAGTACCGTACTACCGAGTCTTGGAGTTGGGATGGTCAGCATCTATGATGCTTGCCTGAGGAAAATTTGTCCCTCATTTCCTCGCGGGCAATGAATGGACTCGGAATTTGTCTGATGGAAAGGCACACCCTTCAAAATTTAAACAGTTCCTAGGAAGTTCCTACCCGCAGGGTGTTTTAGTCTTTTTCTGTGGCGTTTCTTCTCAACGTAGTGTAGCGACGTGGAAAACGTGTAACCGCATAATATGTTATTTTTTGTTCCTAGCAAAATATATGCCACGGCCTGCTCTGATGGGTGCAGTGGAACTGTGCAGGGCCGTACTTGTCTTCTTATTCTTCCTTCTTCTTCCTCCTCCTCGTCCTTTGCTTCGTCTCTTCCTCCTCGTCTTCTGCTTCTTCTCTTCCTCCTCGTCCTCTGCTACTTCCGCATCTTCTTTCCTTCCTCTTCCTCTGCTTCAAACCTCACACCCTGTTTTTTTCACTCGTTGGAAAAGCCGTCAGAAACATTTTGCTATCTGCAGCTACTTGCCATAATATATCGCCTGGACTTACATGAGGTTTGAATACCAAAGCCAACCCCAGATATAGAGATGAGTTTGGATGTGCCTTTATTGACTTATTGGTCCTTTCAAGTTGCTGTTATCTGCACCCAAATTGGCTCCTTGGACTGCTGCTCAGCATCACTGTTCCATTTCTGAGTGATGTGCTTGTCATCTTATGTATGTGCCATTGTTATTAACACCACGTTAGCTGTCCCATGATGCTTGTAACGTTTTGATAAACACCATGACCACTCAGAAGGAGAAGAAGAGGAGCCACAAAAGATGGAGGTTAAAGTAACAGATCTGCAGTGCTCTGATAAAATAGAACTGAACAATGGGGCTATTCAGCAGGAGAAAATCAGTAAATACTAAATATAGGATTGAACACAGGGGCCATTCAGCAGGGGGAAGAAAGAGAGGCCCGGGGGGTGGGGGGGGGGTGTATAGGAGCAGATGAATAACACATTGTCATCACACTATAAACTTAGGATTGAACTGATCCTCGTTCGCAATGCAGTGTTTGCAGTGTTTTCCCATAGTTGAGAAATTGGGGGACGACATCTGTCAGCGCTTTCAGTTCCATTGTTTTGCAACAATTGTCCACTTTTTTTGGCAGTGGTAAGGCTGATGCTTTCGCACAGAAAAAATTGAACCCGAAAATTTAGTGGCAACTCATATCACTCCCATGGTAACACCAACAAAACTGATAGATACGGAGTCGACATCTCCCTGGGGCGACCTCTTAGCTATGGCTGCCAGCCAGCCCTCAGTCATCTGTCTCGGCCAGAACCTGTGCCAACCATGTAAAGCTTTCCGCCGCCACCACCCTTGCACTGAGTACGGGCAGGGCTGCTCCTGCTTGCTACTACTGACAGAACAGTTGAACATCAGTAGGCATGATCTTGTTGTTCTACTTCTCAATGGACAGGGTATGGGACCAAGTCGCCATACGGCCAGCCCAACCGACCAACCAGAAATGCTGCATGGTGAATTTCTGAACAGACAAGTGAGAGGAGAACTAAAAAATTCAAGTGGTAGACTGGAGATGGAATCCCGCGTACTTCGTTCAACTCTCAACAATTCATGAGAGACTGCTTGGGACTAACTGTCTGCTGAATCTAACAAAAACCATGGACTTCGTCAACCATTAGGCATTCTGGCTGGATTGGATAGTGCAGTGACTGTCTTCTCTCAGTGCAGGTGCTGCTCATCTTTTTGATGCTTTAGATGATACAAGTGAACCCGCCGCGGCGAAGCCGTGGGCCAGCACCAGGCCCATCCCAGGCACGTCCATTGTCTGGCCCGGGCGACATTGAGGGTGTTTGTTTTAGAACATATGCGCAGCATTCGGGGGCGGCATTGGCCAAGGCATCAAACGCCATCGGATCCTTTGTACATCAGAACTATTTTATTGTGGTCGCCGCTGGATTCGAACTCACGTCCGCAATTCATCAGTTTCATGTGTGCATTAACTGAGGAGGCTGGCAATGTGCAAAAAGAGAAGGAATGTTCCGCAAGAACATAGGAAGATACGCCGCAATTGACAGATACATTGAAAAGAAATCCCGGTGTGAGTACGGACTAAGGAGCTGTCAGAAAATGTCGCCATGAGAGAGAGAGAGAGAGAGAGAGAGAGAGAGAGAGAGAGAGAGAGAGAGAGGGAGGGGGGGGGG